ACTATTGTAGAAAATCGTAACTGAATGGTCTTCAGCGGAACGCTTCGGAATGTTTAGAAAAAATAGGCCGCACGCTTGATCAAGTTTGGGATACATTATTGACTGCTTTCGAGGACGTTATTTCATTTGAATAGCTTGTTTAACCAGGGCTTAAACAATCGTTACGTCGGTCATAGCTTGTTATGATAGCCTGAGTAATGCGTAAAGAGTTCGTCGTGTTTCGTGTGAAAGTGGAAACTATTGAAGGCCTAAGTGCTTTTTCGTAGCGTTTAGTTTTCGGATTTGAAATCGTCGGTTGCAGTGGCTTGCTGACTGAGCAGAAAAACGCAGTCCCAGGTCCTTTCATATTAAAGAGATTTATGCTGAAATTGCTTGTATATCGTGTATTTTGCGATACTTGCCGTCGTCGTCGGTGCCGGATTTGAATGGTTACAACAACTCGAGTAATGGTATGATGTGTGATATGAGGGGCTCGGTGGCCTTAGAGCGACCGTTTTTGCTTACTGAGCAGAACATCATGAATCTAATCTCTCATCCACATTCAAGATTCGTCAAACGTTTCATTTGTTAATATGACTACATGGTAATAGCAGCAACTAATCATCGAGGAGCTCGTTTGCCTGAGCACAACACCGTGGCTTAAATACTAAGCTCCTTCATGTTATATTACCGTTAGGACATCAATTCAGCTTCTCGTTTACCAAAACGAACTCTTTTGCAAACCCTTACCCAACATCCCAATGATTCCTCGTAGAAGTGCAGAGTACTCCTCGGCTTCCATCGACGCAAGTGTCACGTCAACACATTCCTACCCATTCCTTTCTTGACCTACGTTCGGGCGCGGCCGGCGCTGGTATTGTCTAGTTTGAGATCACTAGTTTTTCATATTGAGGATGAATTCTAGTCCCAATCATCATCATCATCAGCAATGGTTCATTAGGCACAAAATAGCGCACTCTTTTCATGAGGCCACATAAAGATGAAACTTTGGTGGATAGGGTTTTTGATCTAATTTCCGTCCTACTAGGCACAACCCGCGCTTTACCTTCTTTTTTTAAACGGGTATACAAAAAATGGAAAATTTCTCTCAAAGATGACTTCTAAATTTATTCACCTTTCCATACGTACCGTTGGATTTGATAAAGCGTCACAAATTGTTGAATTATTGTTTAAAATCTAACACTACTTCTTGATTCTAAATTCGTCCTACGCGTTTCAATTCCGTCCAAATGCATTGAAACGCCATTAGATTTTTTCATCCTACGGATAAACGTAGAAAAAGGGGATTCGCTAGGAGCGGTTCTTTTGTTTTGATTACAGTGAGCGTAAATATTCATACAATGCGCTCTAATAGGATTTTTGTTGTAGCTAATGAACTAACGCATCTGAACAAACCTATTATTGATTTGTGCATGGTGAAATCAATGATATTATTGATCTTTTCTGATCGATAGAACGGAAATGGGCGATAACGACGAAGTAGTGCTCTACCATACATGCTTTAAGTGAGCTCAATCTCATGCTGTAGGCTGGTGATCCGAAGTGATGCTCTCACATATTCTTTTTATTAATTTCTCAATCACGTCGCAGTACGTTTATATCATGTGTGATACCGACAGGTTTTGCCGCAATTGAATCTTAAATTGGATGATACTAGTTAGATTAAATAATGTACATTCTATCTGTATTCCGAATACTTTAAGAAACACGACTAAAAAGAGCACTTTTGACGTAGGACTACGTCTATGATTTCTATATGCGGGTACACTTTATGAAAACCGAAAATTGAACATGTATCAAAATTATGAAAGATTTTGAACGTTAATAACTCAGCTGCCCCTGGACCAATTTCAATTATTTTATCACCAATCGATCAGAAATATTCCTACGCATCTGTTAAATTTATGACTTTATCATTTTTAAAAATATCACTATTGAAAAATGTACGAATGTGCAACTGTTGCTATGATAACTAAAATTATTATATTATATTCAATCATCGCGTGGTGAGTGGTGGTGTTCTCCGGTACACAACGAAAGGCTCCCCGCAAGCAGCTAGCGATCAAGGCTGACCTCAACCGCTGATCGGATTCAGTTACAATTATCGTGTGTGGTGATGTCCGGTCCTCGGTATCAGTAGTAGCAGCAGCAGTGCTTTCGGCACGTGGCGTTGAACATTGTTCTCCAGTACACAACGAAAGGCTGCCTTCAAGCAGCGAGCTGCATCCCACATGAGCATCCATAGAAGGAGGAAGAAGTCGCACCGCTATTGATCGGAATCAGTAGCTCTTCGTGAGTTTCTGTGGGCTATCTATGTCAAGCGCATCATACTAAAGAGTATAAACAGAGAGATCCCCGCTCGAATTTTTATTCATACAGAAAGCTCCTGCTGCAGTTAACAAATAAGATTTATTATATACTATAAGACCACGTAGTACTACGTCGCCATTGCGTACAACCCCATAGGACTGTCTCTTGTAGTTTTTAATTGCGTGACGTACTTTCAATGTGTTTCATTCATTCATTATCATTGAATGAATAATCAAGAATACCTATATTGTAGTTGGTAACATACATAATTTGGGAATACCATTTACCTTGACAGGGTGCGTTGGGATGAATTCAGGTGGCCGTGATGGAAGTATTCACCCTAAACAAAATATGTTTTAGATAGGAAACTAATCTCGGAATGAAGCATTTTATCACATAAAAGAGTTACTTAAGTTAAGACGGACAAAGACTAGATTAATTTTGCAGATCAATGTATAAAGATAACAGGCTGATCTTGTGGGAAGAATAGGATGCGGCTCCGTCTGGTAACTGGGTTCGATTCCCGAATTTCTCTACTTCCCTGGACATAGAGTATGATTGTACTTGCCACACAATTATACTAATTCCAAAATTGTACAGGCATCGAAAGCTCTCAATTAATAACTGTGGAAGTGAATCTATAACACTAAGATGAGAGCACACAATAAGCTAATATGCGATAAAAAATAAGCTTGAAATGCAAAGAAGAAGAAGAAGAAGGTTCCGTATAGAAAGGTAACTAGGCCTTAAACATGTAGAACATAGCTCCCCATTTAGTTTATTTTTAATTATAGTTGTTATTTTAACCAGTACAAATAGTAGCAAGATCTTCGATCATATGTTTGGTAACAAGTGAATTTAAGGGCAGAAAAAGTTAAGTTAAATTCAATAAATAATGTTAGGATGAGACTAGCTTGGTCTGGATTGTGTTGATTGTTTGTAGTGGGAGTTCGGATTTTAATACAATTGTCTGTATCTGGTAGGGGAAAATAGTTGCTTCTCACTGGTATTAGCGACGTGTAGAAAGCTAATAGACATTCTGAGGGATTGTTTTTAGACTCTTGCGTCTACTTTGGTGCAAAATTTGCAATTTAGTTTAACGATAATAAACGTTTCAGCAGTTGATACCCAAAAATCATAGGTTGCCCATAATCGCAAGTCAGTCCCATCTGTAAAAACCTGGAAATGAGAAAACAGCGTTCAAAGATTTTACAAGTTTTCTGATTTGACACTTATTTTAGAGGGATAAATTTAAAAATAAACGTACAATGTGATAGAATGTATATATATTTACCAAAAAATATTGGATACAATTTCGTGAAATTTTTATTTTATGGCCAAAGTCTGAGTGGGACTGACTTGCGATTACATTTAACGTCAATGAAAAAAAAACGCAAGACAGTCACAATTCCATGACGATGCTGCATTAGTTTAGCACAGCATTGAACAGTAAAAAGATACCATGGTCCCATAGAACGTTATTGTATGTTTCTGCATTTGTTCCGCTGGTTCCAGAGCAATGACCGGAACACATTCCGGTGAGTATGGGTCTTCATCAGACCAGAGCCAAACGTGCCAAACCCACCATGCGATAAATCAATTCACATGAGAATTCAAAAATAAGATCAATAAGAGTCATGCTGAGTGACCAGCACCATTTTGGCCACACCCGGACATGTTTCGGGTATTCCCGGGGAAATGGTAAATCATTTTTAAATCAAAATCTATCAAACGATACAACAAATCACATGAGAAATCAAAGCCACATCCATTGGCGGTCAAACTGAGTATCGTAAGAACTATATTGGCCACATCCCGACATGTTCTAGATACCCTAGGGAACGTGAACAAAATCTGTCTTGATATAAATCTCATGATGCGATGTGTTGTCTAACAATTTTAATTCTATAGAAGCAATCCTAAAAACACATCTGTGTTTTATATTTTATTTAATGAAATCCTATTTTTTTTTTCTAATAGGACTGACTTGCGGTTACTTTTCGCTGTGGGACAATTTGCTTGGTATTGGTTTTCATTTTTCTTGAACAAACTACCTTTTTTCAATATCACATCTCAAAAAACTTAGAAAGATAAACTGAATAATGATGCTAACCCAAAATTGATAAAAATGCAGATGGGACTGACTTGCGATTACCTGCGTTTAGAAGCGAAGCGACACTTTTCAGTAATGAGTGCTAATTTTTAACAATCTTAAATAATAATATAGCAAATACTTCTTGACAATTTGTCAGAACAAGTGATTTAAATGAATGCGTGACTTCTACGAATATTGCCTTTTTTTTAATTTACTGTCATGTAGTTGGCTTCGGCAATACCTTAACCTATTATCGTCAGGGGGTAAACAACGTCCTTGAGAGCTCAATTTTGGCATGTGGATACATTGTGTTTCAGAGCAACTATTGGTCAAATTTGAGTGCTCTAGGACTTTGTTTACCCCCTGATGATAAAAGGTTAAGGTATTACCGAAGCCAACTTTTCCCCTATAAGAACAACAAAAGATAGCAAAACACGAGGTATACGAACCACTCAGACACAAAAGCCTCCTCTTGAACCCCGAATGAACGGAAACATTCCCGTGTCTAATCCAGCACACTTCAACACTTCAAGTTTTGACTATAAAAACCGTCCCAATGAGAGTATGTTCATCACAGTTTATACACAGTTTCAACATGACTCGTATCATCCTTCTATTAGCAGCAATCTTCATCGCTGTGGCCGCCAGTCTTCCGTCTGACGGATCCCATCCGCTGCGCCCATGGTGGAACGCCCCGCATTCTAGCGCCCGCGTCGTCGGTGGCTTCGAAGTCGACGTTAAGGAAATTCCATTCCAGGTGTCGCTGAGCAGTGGTTACGGTCACTTTTGCGGTGGATCTCTATTGAACGAACGTTGGGTTCTAACCGCTGGTCATTGTGCTAGGACTGGCGAACATGGTCTGCAAGTCCGTATCGGTTCCAGCCGACATGCTTCCGGTGGAAAACTGATCAAAGTGAGAGCTGCACACCAACACCCGCAGTACAATGGGGCCACCATCGATTACGATTTCACCTTGCTGGAACTGGAGGAAACAGTGACATTTACCGACAGTTGTCGTCCCGTAGAGCTGCCCAAGCAGGATGAGCCGATCCAGGATGGTACTTGTCTGCAGGTTTCCGGTTGGGGCAATACTCAAAACGCAAATGAATCGAGTTCGGTGCTGCGGGCTACCAATGTTCCGGCTGTATCACTGGAAGAATGCAACGAGGCTTACTCGGACGTCGGCACTGTTACCAGTCGCATGGTTTGTGCCGGTTACAGAGAGGGCGGCAAGGATGCTTGCCAGGGAGATTCCGGTGGCCCACTGGTCGATGGCAATAAGCTGGTTGGAGTCGTATCCTGGGGCTACGGTTGTGCTGTTCCTGGATATCCGGGAGTGTATTCTCGGGTTGCAGCCGTTCGCGACTGGGTGAAGGAAGTCAGTGGCGTTTAGAATGGTTGTGATTATAGGCTGACGATGGGAATAAGGAAATATACATTAAATTTAGCATCATTTCAAAAATGGATTGTTTTACTACACTTCAAAACCAGACTTGGTAAAAACACCGCTCGGTGCGGCTCGGTGGCAACCTACTCATGTATGCACAGCACTGGGTTTCTTCGATAAAGCACCCGGTGTCGGTGCAACATGTTGGCACGCCACCGAACCAAAAGAGAAACCCAAACGCGGTGCTACAGGCTTCGGCTCGCCACCGTGCGGCACGGAGCCAACGGAGCTCATGATTTCGTATCGTTCGTTGTTAGTGATGCGCTATACTCGGTCCCATTTGCGTTTTTGTCAAAACTGAGTTTAAAATTTTGGGGGGGGTCAAGAATCCCAAAAAGCTGTATACGTAGTTAATGAACAGCCCCTTTGAGATTTTTCATTTGAGCGACAGAGTACGGAACAGTCCGCCATGCTTCACGCACAGAATGACAGTTGTTTGTGGGGTTTTCCCATAGGAGTAAAGAGGTACAGTATCGCCGGAAAGGTCAATCAGAAAAGGAACGAAAAAAAAATAGCTGCAGGTAGACTGCGATAATGGAAACAAAGAAGAAGAAGCACGGTATTTTGTCTGGCACCGGACCCTGGCACGGAGCCGCACGGAGCGCACCGAATAACCATAGCACGGCACCAAGCCGAATAAAACGGCTCCGCGTTCAGGTTTCTTGTTCGTATCGGTGGCGAGCCGACAAGAGGTACCGAAACCGAGTGCGTGTTAGCTTTGAACGGGGAGCAATATTATTGCACGGCTCGCAGTGCCGGTGGGTGTTTTTCCAAGTCTGTTCAAAACACGAATATCTGCGTTCAGAAGTGTTTCGGCACAAGCTTTAAATGACAAACCTTTGCAGCAAATAACCTTTTTTTTAACTCGAGGTGTCGATGATCTTGATTTTCACAAGGCAGTGGGACGGAATTTTCTCAAATTCGCCACTTTTGGGCACTTTTGACACCTTCCGAATGTGGAAGGGCTTTATCTCATGCTGTATGCCTGCATGCAGTGTTGTTCATTATGCATGGAGTCTTCTTCTTCTTCCTCGCATTTCAAGCTTATTGCTTATTGCATATTAGCTTATTGCATGCTCTATTCTAGTGTTCTATTCTAGATGCACTTCCATAGTTATTGATTGAGAGCTTTCGATGCCTGTTCCATTTTTACATTAGTATTATTGTGTGGCAAGTACAATCAAACCAATGGGCAGGAAAGTTGAGAAATTTTCAAACCCGAAAAATTCCTAGACCGGCCGGGAATCGAATCTAGCCACCTCCAGCTGTATCTCTTCTAATAAAAAAGATATACCCAAATATAGTAAAATATATGAATAGATTCAAATTGATTTTACACGAGTTTAAAAAATAACATACCTTCATTTTTTTCATATTATTGAGAATACGCCCTTTCAGGGGGAGAGGTAGCTCATCGATTCTTCCGGTTCGCCTTCTAGCATCGTGCTATAAGGTACCAGGCGATAACCAGGGTAGTTGATCGATAGCTCGATGACGTCATTTCGTTGGCGTCTGCAATGGGAAATTCTCATAGCAGACGTTGACGATGGGACGTTGTCGAGTTGTTGAATAGCAACTATCGTGGTAACTCACCTGTCGATCTGCCAAATTTGGAAAGACGTCTGCATTGAATTGTCTCATATAATAATATTCCGCCCACTATATCACAAGAAATTGCGAGTAGCTGAGTGGAATGGAGATAAGTTAAGCATTGGGTACAGGACCAAGTCTCCCCTGGGTGGTGCCAAAAGATGAGCGCAATAGAATCATCAAGTTGCCATAAGGCACGGAATGAGACTATTGCATGGCTGGGTAGTCAAAGTCTTCCATTCGTTAGTCATTTCAGGTGGATTAGAACAGGTTTAGGTTTATGGTGGGCGTTGGCCAGATTTGGATTTTTCAGATGTAATCCTGGATAGGACCCTGTCATTGAACGTCGCGTGAAAGTGGAACTTAATGAAGGCCTAAGTACTTTTTCGTAGTTTTTAGTTTTCGGATTTGAAAGATCGTCGGTTACAGTGGCCTGCTTACTGAGCAGAAAAACGCGGTCCCAGGTCCTTACATATCAAAGAGATTTATGGTAAAATCGCTTGTGTATCGTGTATTTTGCGAAACTCGTTGTTGTCGTTGGTTCCGAGTTTGAATGGATACACAAATTTGAGCAACGGTATTATGTGATATGAGGGGCTCGGTGGCCTTAGAGCAACCGTTTTGCTTACTGAGCAAAACATCATGAGTCTAATCTCAGGCCCATCCACATTCAAGATTCGTCAATCGTTTTATTTGTTAATATGACTACATGGTAATAACAGCAACTCGGTGATTAAAAAGGTGCTCGTCTGCCTAGTGGCAAACGTTTTTGCTTACTGAGCAGAAGACCGTGGGTTTAGTCCCAAGCTCCTTCGCGTTATATGATTGTTAGGACATCAATTCAGCTTACCGTTTACCAAAACGAACCCTGCTGCAAACTCAACCCTATTACCCAATATCCCAGTGATTCCTCGTGGATGTGCAGAGGTGTTCTCGGCTTCCATCAAAGCGAGTGTCACGTCAACACCATCCTTCCTATTCCTTTCTTGACCTGTGTTCGGGCGCGGCCGGCGCTGGTATTGCCTAATTTAAGATCACCAGTTTTTACACATTGAGGATGATTGCTAGTCCCAAGCATCGTCTATTGGTTCTCTGTGTAATTACAACTGATCTGGCAGTAACAGAGTAGCAACCGTGGGCGGTCAATCAAGCTCAAGCTCATTATTGAGAATACGCCCTTTCAAAAGCCGTAAAAAAACTTTTTTTTTTGTTTGCCCCAACCAGAGATATTAACATTTGAAAAGTGCATATTTTTACGTCAATAACTCTTGATTGGCGAAAGATATCGCAAAAAATTGCGCCTTCTAAAGATCTAAAAGTTATTTGAAGACACCTTTGCTGAGAAATTCGAAATAAGAAAACTAGAGCAAAACAACTGTTTTTTTAAGGCCACCCTTACTCAATTCAAGAAAATAGCTCTTAATCGGCCAATTTAAAAGATCAAAAATGTTGTTTTCAACAAAGTTGCTTGAAATTAGCTCAGCTATAACTTTGCCGAAGAATGCGTACCTTAATTTATTCAAACAAAAAAGTTAGATTTTTGATTTTAATGATAATAGGAACCACCCTAGAATTCATTGTCAACAACTTTGTAGAAGAGACTTTTAGTCTAAAGTTTCAATTTCAGGCTCAAAACATATCATTCCACATTTTTTTTTAACTCTATTTGTTCCAAATTCAAAATAAATTACATTTCATTTTAACCTAGGTGCTCCAGTTACTACAGTAACTTACCAGCCTTAATTGTTATGCTATTTATCTAAGTGTTTTTACATTGTTCCTGCCTTGGCAATTCAGTATTTTAAACAGGTTTATTAAACCTGCATGTCAGTATAACAATTGAATATATCATTCCACCTAAATCTGCATTCTGGACCACTATGCATTGTAGCGTGTGCTTAAATTAAGTGCTTTCTAGCAGCTGCTTCATTACTCGTTTCAATAAGATTTTAAATCGATTAGTAATTTGGATTGTTAAAGTATTTTAACACTTTAGAATAGTTCCAGGTCAAATAGCAAAAAAGTAAATAAGGTTTTCCTCGATCCAATTTGCCTGAAACTTTGAGTAATTGGTTGTTATGGGCAATCATTCACATTTTTGCAAAAATTCCGCCATTTAGGATCTTGTATTTTTTTTTTCAAAATGGCGTCTTTGACATTCTCCAATAAATTGTAGCACGAAAACGTCACTTCTAATCTAAATGACGTCTAAGATAAAGTTGTTGAGAAAGTTGAAGCTTTTCTGGGATATTCTTCACGGTAATTGTTTATTAGTAATTTTGAGTAAACATACCAAAAAAGTATTAAAAACTGAAATATTTAAAAATCGTCCACTGCAAATAGCTACTTTATCTGAGCAACATATACATACCATAAAACAGAGTCACTAATTCTTTCCATTTTCTCTTCTTCTATTTCAGATTGCTTTCGAAGACGTCAAAACGTTCTATGTCAAATGGCATCCTGGTTCAGGTTCAATGAATTTGTGCAATATCCTTCGGTGATCAGCAATCAGAGACGAATGTACACTTTACGAAAGGTTTCAGATCTTTCGTATCCTAAATGGTGTACGGATTATGCCTTCATACTTGCCGTTCTCGTACTCCTAGATGTAGCGAAAGTGTACAATATGACTAGGGGAAACGCTCCTATATTGGCCATGCTCCTGTTTTGGCCATGTTTTGGCAATATTTAACGATTTTTACAAGTTTTGAGGTCTTGAGCTCAGTTAAGGTTGTTGATTCAAACCATAATCATCGGGACACACATATATATCGCGCACAAAACGCACGAAGATTGTGTTTCAATCGTTTTTCTGAGGTATGGCCAAAATAGGAACCTATGGCCAATACTGGTACACTTGCCCTATTTATATCTACAACTGCAAATGGTTAACGCATCCTTCTCATAAATAAGCAATCCTCTTAACGGCTACAAGATTAGCTTAGAATAACGCCACAATCTTGCATGCAATGCAGCTCACCGACTATACACTTCACTTCAGCTTGAACTTGGTAAACAGCCATGCGCCTCCATGAATCTTTCCCTTGCTGGAAACGCAAACAAGTTGTTCTACAACTTTTTGCTGTATGATGATGAACGACTTCTATAGTCTAAATGCCTTGACACGGAGAAAGCATTAGTGTAAGCTTCATTAGGCATGTTATTTTCATTCCCCCCGAAGCTACTAAAGAGCACAGCAATCCTGCGAAGGAGGGAAATACAGTGTATCGCAAAATTGAGCGTACACCTGAATGGAAATTTTTTTGAAACACTTTGAATACATAGAGTTTTGACATCACCAACCAGAACAATTCTAGAAATAGCTGGAATTAGGGCGTAACAGCCTTTGTAAACAATGACTTCTCTCGATGATTTCTAGGAACTCAAGGCACGCCCAGGCAAATCAACATAACCATCGGGTAGAAGAAGTCTTGCCCTACCCGATGGTGGTGTTGATTTACGTTGGCGAGTCTTAAATTTCTAGAAATCATCGAAAGAAGTCATTGTTTACAAAAGCTGTTTCGCCCTAATTCCAGCTCTATCTAGAATTATTTATTGATTTATCGGTATAGTTTTGGACTTTATTGGCAGAGCCGGTATGAAGTTTGAGTTGTTTTAGTAAACGCTTTTATTACTATAAATGAGTAACGTTTCAAAAAGTTGCAAAGAGTTTGATTTTTTTGAGAAAAAGGCGTTTTTTTATAAATAGCTCCAACTTCTTACACACTCATCCAAATAAGTGCAATATTATTACGATAACCGATAAATTTTTGATGAGCGAGCAGCCAGAAATTTAGAAATTGATCTGTTTAAATTATGCTTGTAGAACTTTTTTTTCTAAACTTTGAGGACAGCTTAATTTTGAGATTCAGTGTACATGTATTGAACATGAACCATAACATCCGAACTTCATCAGAGGAGGAACAACGAAACGAAAATGAGACATTACATCCGAGCTGAAATTGGCCATGACAACAACCGTCAGGCGAAGAAACAATGAGCTACCTACCGACGTCGATGTCGCTGTCAAGGGTGGAAGGAATGAAGGTCGGCGGAAAACCACCATGAATAATTCATTGTCTGAATTCCTGCCGATGCGTTCGATTGGCTATGGCATTTCCACGTCGCACATTTCCAGCCGGCTGCACGCAGATTGCTTTACTTGGTTTACCATTTTCTAAAATACCTACCTTAATGTGCGTATGTCTTTCGCTCCAATCATGCTGAATGAATTTGTGATCTTTCGGTTTCTAAAGCAATTATCGGTGATTTGGTTCTGTTGAATGATGTCCATAGATAGCAAGGACTGGATAACATTTGAGTGTTGCTGTTTACGTTCGCCGGAAAAAGGACACTGTGTTTGTGTTGGGTTTCACATGAACTTCGTAAACCAGAAAATCGAGCAAAATAAGCAACGTTCAAGTGCAAAGCAAAGATTCTTTTTGTTTTTTTTTAAGTTCTCTATTTATTTTGTAACGGCACATTGGACTTTCGAACAGATTCGACAGTGCATTAGCAGTGGTGGCAATCGAGTGGAAAGGTCGTGACGATCAAAACAAATTAGAACAAATTCCAATCTCGATTAAAAGTTGATATAAAAGGAAAAGTTAATTGGGATTTCCCAAATTTGGTTGTTGAAGCTGAGTTTCCTTCTCCGAACTGCGGTGCAGTATTAAACAGGAACATGCTGTTGATGAAAATGCGGAACAAAGTGCTCTCCCCCTCCCATCCGCCTTCGTCGAACCGACATGGCGCATTTGTTGTTTAACTGCGAAGCTGGTTTCCGAAGAAGAAATTCCATTTCCGTCGTTCAAGCAAAGTTTGCAGAGAAAAAGAAAATCCACATTTTTTTTTCACTAATCCAGAGCCATAGTGAAGAAGTGAAATGCAAGAAGAAAAAATAAAGAGAAATAAATGTATTTCATTCCAGAGAATCATCATCAGTCATGAATAGCGAAGAAAACGGAAAGTGTCGTATCCTGTTAGTTTGATACCTCTGTTTGAGCCTGCTGCCGACGTCTGAATGAGTCCAAAAAAGTGAAACAAGCAGAAGAAGTAAAAGCAAAAAGTGTTGATATCGCATTTATAAATTATCATTAAAGTGTACCCTTGGGAAAGGAAGAAAAGTTACGAGGAAAAAGTGTTACTGGCCGGTTTGATCAGTTCGATCGGAAGGAAATCGAACATCCTTCCGTGTGTCCCGTGGTCATTGTCCCCGTAGAAGAGAGCAATAATAGCCTTCTCTAACGGAAGCAACCGAAAGTGGATAAAGTGAAGTGTCAAAATCCTGGATCTATAGCGCGCGGTAGGCCATCGGTAGAAGGCAAACCATGAACCATCTTCCTGGATCGTCTCCGCGGTCACCGGCGCCATCGCCTGATCCGGATGTGGATGACGGGAGCAGTAAGAAGCAGGCTACTAGGTGAGTCATATTGTTACATACAGTAGAACAGATTTTGTAGTGTCGCATTGAAAACGATGCACTTCACCCATGTCGGAAAAGTCGTGCTATTGTACATCCATGACTGAAAGTTCAAATCCGCGAAACATTAAATGATGTTGCGAAAATCGCGTAAATTGCGCAATAAATTTTATTGGTGCGAATTGGATATGGTAATTTTTAGGAAAATTATCACGTTTTGCTTTTAATCGTGTGGTATGATGTACAGAGCAGTGATGCCAAAAATCCAGTTTGTAGTGCACACTTAGTTTTTTTCTACCGAAATCGGCTGTGCAAATCTCGGCAAAAAAAGTTTCGCTGAGATCTCAGCAAAAGTGACATTTGATTGCTGAATCTCGGATAATGCGTAGCTGAATCTCAGCAAACAAATGAAATGTTTGCTGAGATCTCAGTAAATCTTTTTTTGCCGAGATTTGCACAGCCGAGCTCGGTAGAAAAAAACTAAGTGTGTGGATTCTTCCCGTTATTTTTTTTGGACACAGTTAAAGTTCGAAATCTTCCAGTTTTTTGAGCATCCAGTTTATTCAGTTTTCTATTATTAATAGCAAAATATGTTGATGCATGATTACCAGTACAGAATGATTAAGATACTTACAATTTAAACTTTTATATTGAAATTTAAATCTGCAAAATGCGTGGCGATTCTACGATCAAGCTCGTTTCACGGCAACGGGACAAGCTGTGTCAGCATCGACACGCATTTTGCAGGTTTAGTATTATGACAGTTAACATAACTTTATGTCAACTGATGTTGAGAAATTGTAACAAATCAGTAAGTTTATGAACAATGGAACCATCTTAAATCTTGCCGTCAATATTAATGATCGATCTCTGTTGTTTATCTACCAATATTATTTGAAAATATCGGGGCTTGTTATGCCTTCGCCATCTTCTCTTTCGAATTTATTTAATGAAATTGGAGTAACATTTTAGCTGGTTCTTATGCAGGGTGTGTACTAATTTTGCTAAATAAAATTACTCGAAATTTCCAGGTTTTTGAAAACTTTTCGGATAATTTCCAGGTTTATAAGAAAACTGTTTTCCAATTGCGTTAAAAAATATGTATTTTTTGGTGAAACAACAACTTTTGAACAACCATTGAAAGTTGAAGTTTAATATTTACTGAAGTATTAGTATAGGATCTCATAAAATATCAAAGCCTTAAAGTTTTGAACTCTAAGTGTAAGATCTAAACACTTTTCAAAGTTGTAAGAAGATCAAAGTGTGCCCTCCTTCTACACGGACGTGAAAATTTTCCGGTTGTCAAATTGTTCGTCTATGTTTTTTCGTCGCGTTTTTTCTAGAGAAATTCGCGAGTGCAGACTTTTATGGCGAGCTAAGGATAATTCCAGGTCGGTATCATCGATACTGCAGCCGGGGCGGTGTACTTTTATTTTTGAGCGTCTTCACTATTCTACGTGCAATCCCAAGCAATCAAGAAGTGACCGCATTGGGCCAGCACGTGTCCAGGACGGATTTCGAGTGGTGTTACACCGAGAAACCGCACGCCAGTCGAAGGAAGATTATCCTGAAAAAGCATCCGCAGATCAAGATGTTTTTTGGTTATGATCCGCGGTTCAAGTTTGTGGCTGGTGCCATGGTGCTAACGCAGTTTGCGATGTTGTTCATAATGAAGGACCAATCGTGGAAGATGATTTTCCTGGTGGCATATTTCTTTGGATGGGTGATAATTCATTCGCTAGAGCTCGCTTGTCACGAGATTGCTCACAATCTGGCTTTTGGACATGCAAGGCCGATGGCAAACCGGCTGGTTGGGTTTTTTTTGCAACCTCCCGATCGGAGGAGCGGATGCATCCAACGAAACTTTAAGGCGCAAAAGAATCATTACCAACATAGGAGAAAATTCGGCAAGATCCTTCCATTGCATTATTTTATGATTCTTCAATATTGTACAAATATTTACACATTACACACAACTACACACAGTAACTCGGAGCGTTTGGTACGGTATGTCCACGCATCCTTCCACTGCTGTAGATTCGAGAAATGTTCATTTCCAAGAATCATCTTTGCGGCAAATACAACGCAGTAGGCCTGGCCGTATTGATGTTTATATCATATCTCAGATATGCTGTAAACATCAATTAGACAAAAAAAAAATATAAGACCTCATATTGTATTAGATTAGATTAGATAAGATTAGATTAGATAAACACTTTTCAAAGTTGTAAAATCCCAGAATTAGAAGAAGATTAGAAGATTTTCCTCAAAATTTTGTTGGAACGATCCTCGGAACTCAGAATTTAATTCCCTTGTAATTTTCTATTACCTCAAAATTTTCCTTAAAACTCTTTTGGAATACTCATTAGCAAAATTATTTTCAGTATTATTGTTCTTAAAAATTAAAACATAAAATTACATTTATTGCTTGGTAATTCGTTTTATGCACCCTATTTTTTATTGCGATTTGGATGTTAACCATTATCAAGTAAATTTGTATTTCAATTGAAAAGCATAAATGTTTTAAAAGAATGTTTCAGAAAAGCTAGGCCGCTTTTATTCAAAAGAATGGTTTATTATGTTCACTAAATAGGTACTCATGGGGCTTCATAGCCTAGTCAGTAAAGGCACGGTATTACCAAACCGGAGGCGGTGGATTCGATTCCCGGTCCGGTCGAGGGAATCTTTCAGGTTGGAAATTTTCTCGACTTCCCTGGGCATACTTGTGCTTGCCACTCAATATACAAATTCATGCATTGGTATTGGCATCGAAAGCTCTCAATTAATAACTGTGGAAATGCATTTAGAACACTAAGTTGAGAGCACGCAATAAGCTAATATGCGCTAAGCAATAAGCTTGAAATGCGAACAAGAAGAAGAAGAAATAGGTACTCAGACTTTATGCTACAAAGAACACAAATAACTGAAGATGATACATTGTTATTTTTTTAAATGGTATAAGCGAGGGGAGAGCTTAGTCAGTAAAGGCGCAGCTACGAAACAAGTCCATGCTGGAGACGGCTGGGTTCGAATCACGTCCGATCTTTTTTTTTTTTTTTGTGAACAATTTCTCGACTTCCTTGGGCTTAGAAAGCTCTCAATTAAAATGTAGAAGTGCTTCAAAGACCATTAAGTTGAGAGCAGGCAAAAAGATAACATGCTATAACCAATAAGCTTTTCAAGCTTATGTAGTAGTAATACAAATGGTATTTGTCGCGGATTAGTATTTGAAGTCACGGATTTCTTTTGAAAAATCACGGAATTCGAGGGTCAAATTGTACATAAATTCTTCTTTTTCGCATTTCAAACTTATTGCTTATCGTAGATTGATTTATTGTGTATCTTAATTGGGAGCTTTCGATGTCTGTACGATTTTTGCATTAGTATAAAGTATAATTGTGTGGCAATGATAATCAGCCTCTCAAGTATAGCCAGGAAACCTAAAAAAATTCCAACTCAAAAAACTCCTAGACCGGACCGGGAATCGAACTCAGCCACCTCCAGCATGATCTTGCTTTATAGGTGTGCCTTTACCGACTGTATTTGCTGGATGCCCTTGACTGCCCCGCCGCTTCGTCCAAGTCGCTGCTTTGAAATTGACCAGTATTTTTCGATTGGTCGAAATTCCGGGCAATGAATGCTCCAGCTTGGGGAAAAATCGATCTTGTTGGCAGCATACCACTCCAGAAACACTTTGGAATAGTGTCAGCTGGCCAAATCGGGCCAAAAGATGACTTTGCCCCTATGCTTGCGGATGAACGGCAATACAAGCTTTTTCAGGCATTCTTCGATGTAAACTTGGGATGTCATCGTCGAGGAAGTGACGAATGGTCCCGTTTTCAGGCCACAAGTCATGGCCTTCTTCGCGAACCTATCGGGAAACACGAACTTGAATCTTCCCGGCACATCCCCACGTCCAGTTGCGATGTAACACTTTTGACCGGAAAGTTGAATGTGTCGCAATAATTTCGTGTTCGCCCTTTATTTAAATACATGCTATTGAACAAAATACAACCAACCGCATCAAATCTATTCATTGTAACGAGCAACTTATTGAGGATTTTATATGTGACAGAATATCTTTGTCACGGTGTAGTTTTCACATTTCCAGATTAAAGAACGGCGCAATATAAACAAATCTAGAACTCAATACCATTATCTTCGAAAAAATCAAATATCAACCAGTTACCATGACTTGTTCTCCGTTCAATCCTTTTCTGTTTCCCATCCTCTGCATACTGAAAGCATGTCGAAAAATCATTTCTATAAACAAATCAACAATCGACATAGAAAGCTTGTTGACCCCGACTGAAGAAGCTTCCTCTTTATCGACCTGGTTCCATCTTCTTGGCATTTGAGCAACATCGTTACGAACTCGTAGCAATCCATTTTCCTCGAAACATCGAGATGGAACCAACTTGTCCTCAACGATGTCGTCAAGTATATGGGAAAGCAAGGGGTGGGAGGGGGGTATCCTAAGACAATATTGTTTCTAGTGAAGCCTTTCGTTGGAAAGATGGGGTTCCGGTCTGTACTGTTACTCCGTTACCATTTTTATCCAACATCGGTTGGTGGGTTTCTTTTTCGGATGAAAAGCAAGGCGTGCACTCACGACCTTCTTCATTGGGATGTAGGAAAGCATTATTGGGTAATTTTTCCGTTTTTTTTCGCTATACCATGGTGGTACAATTGAATAATAGATGTGACCGAGCTGTAATTAATCATATAACTATGCCTAACGGTATGGGTTAAATATTGTCCTTCCAGGCCGTGGGTTGGTCAATATATATCGTTGGTTTCGTGCAATACTGGCACAACTCAAAATCTGTGTAATTCACGAATTACCGTGAAATGCGTTTTTGTGGGCTGAAACTTCACACTATTTACCGTCATTTGCCTTCATAATCTAAAAAATTAAGAATTTTGACTTGTGACAGTATTGTATGAAACCGACGATATGTGGGCTTCGGTCAGGATATGGAAGTTCGCCGAGAAAAGTT